CCCCAAAACCCCAAAACCCCAAAACCCCAAAACCCCAAATATAAATAAAATTATTGAATTTTCAGAAGGCCAAATGCAATTTAATAGGAACAATGTCAGGAGGAGAGATGACAAGGTCAGGAGAGCCCTTATGCCTGATGCATACAGAAGGTACTTAAACTCAGGTTCACACTGTTTAGGGAGGTAGACAGAAGGTCTAATGACAAAAGATTAATGAAGGCTATTAGAGACAGAGAGAAATAAATTCAAAGAAATGAGGGAAAAAGAAAGCCAGTCTAAAGGTAGACCTATTCGGCCTAAATTTTAGGCCCCTTGTTCAAGCTTAAAAAATTTAAGAATAAAACATCTGTTCTGAAACCAGCAATTAAGAAAAATGAGCTTGATGAAATAAATTGTTGATATACTATTGCTGGACATTATAATAACGCAGCTGAACAGGAGAGAGCAGTCTTGGATAAAATGGGGCCAAATAATCAACCTAAGAATTCAATTCTTTCACTCGCAGCTCGTAGTGTTATATCAAAGAGGGATCGAGAGTTAATGCAGGAAGAAAATAAAATGCTTGAAAAATATTATCAGGATTATTATAAAGACAAAGGAAGTAACAAAAGTAGAGGAAGTTCCACAGAGAGCAAGGGACAGAAAAACATGTACTATCCGAGATCAAATGTATGCATTAAGCTCTCTATTCTCAATTTATCTTGAAATCATTCAATTTATCATAGTTTAATTAAATGCTAGGTTCATCAAAGCATGTCTTCGATCAAGAAATATCCTGAACAGGAACAGGTGCTCAGCCCTCCTCCACTGAAGGGCCATAACTACACTCGTTCAGTAGAAAGCATTCCAACAAAATCCACAGAGATGAGTGAAGAAGATGTTAGAGGAACAATAGCAAAGCTCGAATTGAAGAAGTAAGACCTCTTAATGCTTAACTTTAGAAAAGAAGTGAATGCTATGATATCAAGACTCCCTCTAGGCAATCGCTACAAAGCAATTGAGGAAAGGGAAAAGAAGCTATATGAAGAACTTGACCAGATAAGTGAAACCATCCGCAAGTTATACAACCACAAGGTTTTCCTAATGACTTAGATAACCCTCATGATTCAACTTTCTGATTAAACTAAGGGGTTTTGGGGTTTTGGGGTTTTGGGGTTTTGGGG